CATAAGCATTGTCTTCCCTACATGATGTCCAATATATAGTCAGATTTTCTTATGTCTGCAAGTAAAGCATGGCTGATACTGATCGTGAATAGAAGCTAACACCTAAAACATTTACTGGTGGCAAATGTTCATCATAATGGAAAATGAGGATGAGATGAATTTGTACAGCATGTATGAACTACCATGCAACATATATAAACAGGAAGCAATTGTACCACTCCCAACATTGCCATATAGGTATAGTCCTTTTGGGGCTGGAGGAGCAGCAGGACGGCGACCGACTAGTGAGTCTAACTTCTTCTCGCGATTAAGATATGAAACCCATTTCCCGACTCCCTCTTCTACATCTTCAGCTTTCCTGAGTCAAAAAGATAATGGTAATTAAACCACTGACAGTGAAGAAGAAGAAGGAAATGAATCTTTACTTTAAAATAATGGCAGTGACATACTTTCTTTTTTTTATTCTTTAAATTAGTAAAAAATTCTGTTAAATCACTCAGATACATACATTGTCCATATCTTTTACAATGCTCTTCCTCAACCAAAAGTTTAAATTTCTTTTAAAAGAATAACTTGAAGGACCACAATGATGGTATAGATGAGTGATGAATGTGTAAACATTTCCTCACAAGGTACGGGTAAGGTCTGCGTACACACTATCCTCCCAGACCCCACGGTGTGGGATAATACCGGGTATGTTGGTGGTGGTGGTGGTGGTGGTGGTGAATGTGTAAACATTGTTATTTCTTTTGAATAGGATATATGCAACAAGGAAATTCATTACACAATAAACAGTCTAAAAAAATAAACTGGACCAACTCAATAAGAAAAGAGAATGTGATAAACCACCAATCAATGCATACGAAGTATCAAGAAGTAAGATCACCTTATCCCTTTAATTCCTTGATGGGTCTCTTTGAGAACCAAAACAATTTCTCTCACTTTGTGTAGAAAAACAAACTTTTTTGTTTTAAAGTGAAGAAACTATGACCAACAAAAACTATTGCATGGAAAGCATTTCCATAAGAATGTTGAAAATGCACACTCACCGAGACATCCACCTTTGGAAAATATTGCGTGATTTGTTTATTGGTGTAAATGCACCTTGTTGTTTGGCCTCAGCTTCCTCCGTAAGAAGCTTACGCCTCTGATTTTCCCTATTATGCTCCCATTGTGCAAGTTTTGCCTAAAGATGGAAATAAAAAACAAAGCCTTAGGACGACACTGAATCGATGACTTCAATTAAGTTCGTTATCACTATATAAAACTCACATGATATTCCTCCATGTCCTTTTCATATTGCTCCAGCCTTCCAAGCAGATTTTCTAGTTCAGAAGCAACTTTTTCCTGGTAAGGATCGTGCTGCAGCTTCCCCTGATCAACAAGACTCCTATAATGTGCAAGTAGTCCTGAAAAAGGGAGCAGCATTACTTTGAAATATAGAACAAGTAAGAAAGATCGACAAGAAGAGTAAAGTAACCAGCCAAACTGGCGCACGGTTTTTTTTCTGTTTAGTCATGTATTCATCAGATATCAACATGGAGCACAGTTCAGACTCAAGTCTCTACAATTCTCATTATGTATACATGTAATATTAATTAGAGGAATCTTGCTTCAAACATAGTAGTTGCTATGAGTAATAATCGAGAAAAAGAACCGGTTATAGACTAGACCAAAATATTTCAGCAGGAAATATAGTATGAAATATTTTATCAGCAAGAACAATATGTTCTAGATTTCTCTTATCATTTATTTGGCAATATAAGGAATCTATGCACAAGATATTTATAGACGTTACACTTGCCAAATAATAGCTAAAAGTGTTAATGTCTTGTGCTGGGTTTTTCTAGTTGTTAAGCAAAATACCGATGTGTCATTTGTCACGGTATAACTTATAATGGCACTCCGTTAACTATTCATCAACTTAAAGGGGGAAAAGCTAAATAGATAGCTGAAGCTAATTGGAGGAGCAGATCCAATTCACACTCAAATTTTAAACCAAGAACAAAACTTAAAGTTTTCAACTTCCTCAAGCATTGCACGTCCACAATCATAGTGTTCTAACTTCTAAGAACTTCACCACGCATGGTTTTGTCAAGGTATGATAGGGAGGGAAAAGAGAAAAGAAAGAGGCAATCCAACCATGAAAACTGCCTTGTTCACATAGAGAATAGAGCTTTCTGCTAGTGCCTTGTGAATGGAACTCCATACTCTCAAGCATTAGCATCTCCAACGTTCAATGATAAGCTGAGGTTTAAAGCAATGAGTCATAATTTCGAGAACACGTGTAGGCGCATTATATAAACCTAATCTAGGTGGCACCCAAGGATGTGACCTAGTGTTCAATAAAGTGGGGAGAGTACCATGAGGTCTTAGATTTATTTATTTGACTACACAAGGTGAGCAGAGTTATCCAGTACCTGTGCTGGTGGGAGTAGTAGGTACCTAGTGGTGTAGTCAAGGTGCACGCAAGCTGGCCTAGAAACCACCATCATAATGTAAAGAAAATGGGAATTGGCTAAGAAAAGGAAGTGAATTTCCCTCTTACATCCTAAAATATACCGATTTATCTTTCCCCAGCTCTAGCTCAATTTGATTGGAAGTGAAGTGAACTCACATTAGATTGATGAAAAACTAGTACAATTCATTTAATTACAGTATGTAAATTAAATAATCCCATAACAAACTCTTGGTCCAATTTCCATCAGATCCTATAAATCATCAATAATTGTTACACAGACACCTGAATTCAAAGCTTATTCACTAGAAAATGGAAAAAACAAAGAAGCTGAAAGAATTAGGGGAAGGGACTAACCAGGATTGTTGGAGGGAGAAGCGGAATTGCAGTAAAAGCGAAGAACATTATTATTACTGCTGTTGCTGCGGAATTTGGAGGATCTATGAGCCAATCCAATAGAAACAAAAACAGAAAGCTTTCTCATTTGCACAACCCCTTTAATTTTGCTAATTACGTTTTTTTTTTTTTTAACGGAGATGGAGGAGAATGAGGTTCGTTAGAAAAGTGCGCCAATTTGTTGAATGCGTAGAGAACAGATGAAAGAAAAGGACAGACGTGGCCATACGGGGATCCAATCGTTTTTGTCTTGGCATGACGTCGTCTGTGTTTATTGAAACACATTAAGTAAACCTTTATAGTTAGGCATGGTTCGCTTTGGATCGGTTTTTTCCTAAAAAGAAATCAAATCAAGTAAGTCGGTTTTTCAAATATTAGAACCAAATCAAACCAATTAAGTCGGTTTTTCTCGATTCGGTTTATGTCGGTTTTTCGGTTTTTTCGGTTATTTGTCGGTTTTTTCTTAAATATAAGACATACACTACCAAACACATATTCCGGCAACCACATTTTCAATGTAACACTATCAAATCAATTGCCCTTTGAGAAATATATTATTTACCAAGATATATTGATGATAATTGAAAAAATAATGATGAATAATTTAAGGACTCAATTAAAAATATGTTATTTTTAACACGAAATGGATTCTTACTCTAAACAAAAGAAAACTACCAATCAAACTAGAATGTAAAGGTAAAGAACTATACTAAAAGTGCAAACTATTAGCATTTACCATAATTTTTTTGAAACTTTGTATAACAATATACATATATATAGGTGTAATAATAAATTTGAAATAGCTACTCCTACAGTCGGTTTGGTTCGGTTTTTTTCTGATTAAAACCAAAACCAAACCAAATTTGATCGGTTTTTAAAATTCAAAACCAAACCAAACAAAAAAGTATCGGTTTTTTGACCGGTTTGGTTTAGTTTTCGGTTTGGTTCGATTTTTCGGATTTTTATGAGCACCCCTATTTCTAGTTTCTACTTTGGGTAATTTATTACTCAAACTAATCATGAGCGGAAAAAAATCTTAAACTAATCTAATTATTTTCTTATGCACCAATAATAATGCTTAATTTTGCAATCTACAGGAATTTGAGTTCTTATTTCAAGGCATTTTTCACTTCATTAATCACCACTCCGCACTTCTTAGATTTTAATATGTATAATTTATAGTAATACAAGAATTATACTACAAAATTCTTATTAAAGGTTTGGAAATATTGAGTCAAAATTGGAGAAGTAGTTTTATCATTTTAAATACTCACACCAAATATTATTAATGTTGATTTTATTTTTATTTTATCCCACATACAGTAATGTGTAGATCTATGCATAAACTATGAGGTCGTTTGATAGAGTGCATTACAGAAAATAATGCATGCATTGGCTTTGTGTATTAGCAATACCTTATTTGGTACACTTTTTCAAGTTATGTTTAACTAATACAAGCATCAGTTATACACCCTATTTGGTATTATCCTATGTATAGCTAATGCACAGAAAACCACGGTATTAGCAATACCAAGGGTATTAATGCTTGCATTAGCATGGTTAAAGATAAAATTATCCTTAAAGTCCCTTAAAACTAAAGAATATGGAGGGCATTTTTGTAAACAGTAATTTTTATAAAAATTATGCAATGCATTTTAATTTTTAATACACCATACCAAAACAATGGATAAGAAATAATCTCTGCGTAACTAATGCTTGCATTACTAACGCATGCATTACTAATCTTTGCATTACTTTATACACCTTATTCAGCATTATTCTTACACACCCTACCAAACGACCCCCTGTGTTTAGTAATACATTATACTTTCATTGTTTTTTTAGAAGTGATGCATAAATGCATATGGGAAACCAAATAATCACATAAGTTAAAGTTTTATTCCAAAAACTAAACCTTGTATTAATTATTCAATATTTGCATTAGTAATGTATCATTTTTGTACATGAAATCAAAAAGTAACATTAGTCAGGCAATACTTCATGATTATTTTCTCGTATACAAAGGAACTTGTAGTGTAAAATAATGGTGTATGTATTAACAATAATAATGCATACATGCAAAAGAAAGAGTGACAAAAGTATCATTTATATATCATTCATTCAGTTAACTGTATCTCATATTCTTATTTACTATCTCTGCCAACAAACTTTTGTTAGTGAATTTATGAAAGAATGATAAAAATAACAGCTTGAAAGTTTCATATTAGAGAAAGACAAAATCATATATTAGCGTTTCTCGCCATTGATGGCATCTAACTAGATGAATCATTTGCCCTCCAAAACAAAGCTATTCTGTTCACTTCACAAACCCATCAGCAGGAAACGAGCAGCAGAGCAAAACTGCTTATCTCTCCTCCAACTCTGCAATTCTCTTCCAAAACTCCTTCAACTCCAATCCCATATCTTCAAATTGGGCCTACAAAATAACCCACTTGTCCTCACTAAATTCACCTCTATTTCCTCTGACCTCAACGCCATTACCTATGCTTCATCATTTATTTTTTCCACATATGTCGAACCCCATTTCTTTGATGTCTTTCTTTTCAACACCATTATCAGAAGTTACGCTGTAACTAGTGATTTAAAGCATAATGCTTTGTGTTTGTATGGTAAAATGTTAAGTTATGGTATTTGGCCTAATAAATTTACGTACCCTTTTGTTCTTAAGGCTTGTGCTGGTATTGGTGAGTTGAAATTAGGCCAGATTGTTCATGGGTCGGTGGTGAAACTTGGGTTTCATGATGATTCTCATGTTTTGAATACTATGGTTCACATGTACTGTAGTTGTGGTGGTGGGGTTGAGTACGGGCGGAAGGTGTTTGATGAAATGCCTAACTGGAATTCAGTAGGGTGGAGTGCTATGATAGGTGGTTATGTGCGATGGGGTTTGTCTAGTGAGGCTGTAGAGTTGTTTAGAGAAATGCAGGTTGCTAGGGTAGCACCCGATGAAGTTACGATGGTTTGTTTGTTGTCTGCGTGTACGGACTTGGGTGCCCTCGAGCTAGGGAAGTGGCTCGAAGCATATATCGAGAGGGAGAACGTTCCGAAGAGTGCTGTTCTTTGGAATGCTCTAATTGACATGTTTGCGAAATGTGGTGATGTTGATAAAGCTTTGAGTTTGTTCAGGAGCATGAGTCAAAGGAATATTGTTTCTTGGACTTCTGTAATAGATGGTATGGCGATGCATGGCCGGGGAGCTGAGGCTGTTTCATTATTTGAGGAGATGAAGAAAGATGGGGTTGTACCTGATGATGTTTCCTTTATTGGGTTACTTACTGCCTGTAGCCATTCGGGTTTAGTTGAGCAAGGTAAGGGATACTTTTATTCGATGACAAAGGAATTCGGGATTTCACCAAAGATAGAACACTATGGATGCATGGTTGATCTGTTATGCAGAGCTGGACTTGTTCAAGAAGCATTGGATTTTGTTCAGAGAATGCCCATTAAACCAAACCCAGTAATTTGGAGAACACTTATTACTGCTTGTCGTGCTCATGGTGAGCTGAAGCTTGGTGAAAAAATAACAAAAGAGTTGATAAAACATGAGCCTACGCATGACTCTAATTACGTACTGCTTTCTAACATTTATGCAAAAATGTTTTCTTGGGAGAAGACGACCATGATTAGGGAAGTTATGGTGAAGAAGGGAATGAGAAAGGTTCCAGGGAGCACTATGATTGAGCTGTACAATGAAATCTATGAATTTGTGGCAGGAGATAAAAGTCATAGTGACTACAAGATTATTTTTCAGATGGTGGATGATATTGGGAAGGAGATTAGCAGAGCTGGATATATTGCTTCAACATCAGAAGTGCTACTTGATATTGATGAAGAAGATAAAGAGGGTGCTTTAAATAGGCATAGCGAAAAGCTTGCTATTGCATTTGCTCTTATGAAGACGCCTCCTGGGACTCCTATCCGGATTGTGAAGAACTTACGAGTCTGTGAAGATTGCCACTCTGCAACTAAATTCATTTCAAAGACTTACAAGCGAGAAATATTGGTCAGGGACAGGAACCGATTTCACCGCTTCATAGATGGGGTTTGCTCATGTAAAGACTTCTGGTAGCTTAATGTGCTTGAAGCTGTAATCAATCAATCATGGCAAGCCAGGAGGTCCTTTGCTTATGAGCATTGATAGCTGAGCGGATTATCCAATATGCATAATCTTCTTGTATAAATGATGGAACTAAAAGTATGATGCTACAAAAAAAAGACCTTTTGGGACGTCCAAAATCCAGAAAACCTGTGGGACATCATCTTGGCTGTGTTTCACCTCAGAGTTTCGTTGTATCTTTGTCTATCTGTGGAGGCATTGCTTGGGTGACATGTAGGATGTTGCTAATCAGGGCATGGTTGGCTTCCTTAAACGTCGTCATGAAGGCAGGTACACACAATTGGTTCTCTTTGACTTGTGGCGTGACAGCAAACCTGAGCACAGGTGACGGTTGCATAAGCATTGTACAATTGACAAACAAAATAGTGCTCATAACAGTAGTTGAAGTACACATAGTAAATTTATCTTAATTCATTAAGTTGCTTTGAGAAAGGGAGCCTTGGCGCAACAATAGAGTTGGTGTCGTGTGACCAGGATGTACTTGTTCAAGTCGTGGAAACAACTTCTTACAAAAATATAAGGTAAGGCTGCATGTAATAGACTGAATATGGTTCGGCCCTCCCAGGACCCCATGCAACGCAGTAGCTTTGTGCATTGGGCTGCCCCTCAAATAAATGCTTTGTGCGGTTAAATGTTGTATTTGAAAATGCTTTTGCGTAAATTGTAACGGAGGAAAATTCAGGAACTTGATCCTCATTTTACTGTAAACCCATTTTTCTTAGATTGAGAATATGATATGATCTAAGGCATTATAGTTTGTTTGATGAAGTAAATTTGGTAAACGACTATCAAAGCTATTCATTCTTTTAAGATGCATTTGAAATGATTTAAGATCATGATCCGACTAGTAGGATTCTTTTTCCACATTCAATCCACTGCCCTAATTTGAGGGAGAAATTAAAAAATAGCCAGATTTACAAGTGGTCGTTCAAAAATAGCCCAGTTTCAAAAGTAATGAAAAGTTAGCCACTTTTCATGTAAAGATAAATCTGAGCGAAAACACTGTTCAAAACCCGGAAAATACGCCAGTATATTATGCTGGAGTTCCAGCATAAGTATACTTGAACTCCAGCATATTATACTGGAGTTCCATCAAAGTATACCGGTCCAGTATAATATGCTGGAAGTTCATACACAAGTGCTCGAATATCCAGTATATTATGGTGGAACTTTCCGTGTGTTGGAGTTCTAGCATAATATGCTGGAAGTTCATACACAGGTGCACCGAACTCCAGTATATTATTCTGGACCGGTTTCTGTTGCAGCAAAATAGTGGTTATTTTTTATTGACTTGGTAAACGCTGGCTATTTTTAAATGACCAGTCCGAAAACTGGCTAGACCGTGCTATTTTTACCTAATTTGATGGTTATGCAGCAAACATTGAATTAGCTTGTCATCTATAAATTTAGTAAAATCTCTTCTTTCTTTTTTTTCTTAAAATTGAAAGGAAACAGAGTCATATTTTGTTAAAAACGCACACTACAGTTTACTCAATTAGTCAAATACGGGAAAAATGCTTTTCTTTGGAGCGTAGTCCTAAGACCACATAGGATAGTGACAAGAATAGTCTTCTTTGTATAATGTACATTGGGATCATATTATTTTCTTGCAAGTGTAATTGTCGAAGAAGCCCCAGTTCGGATCATTCTATGTTGTATCAAGTTACTAGGATTCAATAAAAACAATTGATTATCAAAGTTAAAAGTCCATCAATCACATTGAAGTATCTAAACACACAACTTGAAGAAAAATCGTGGTTTCAGATACCCAGTCAAGTCATAAGATGGACTAGACTCCAAAATTCGCTGTTACTTCAATTGTTCACAAACAATAAGTGACTAAGGTAGTAAATTCAGCAACAACAAAAAAATTGTAAGTTTCGGTAAAAGTTGGCAACATTTGTGGTTTAAAGTTTAACTTTGATGCAAGAATCATCACTTCAATTGCATTAAAGTGTGTTATCAGTCAGTAGAAAGAGGAAAACGATAAAAGTATCCTGATAAAGATAAGATTCCCATGAACTTTATGGCATCCATATACTAGAGAGAAGACCACTGTGGGTAGCAAATTGAAATTAGAAATATGCAGAACAAAGTAAGCTAAATCTGTAGATCTCTTGGGACATCCAAGTGTGACACAAAAAATATGCCTCAATCTCCAAGCAAAGGCAAATTGGGATCTGACTATATGAATCTTCATCGTTCATGTCGCTTCATTTAATCTAAACGGAAAAATAACGAAATAGCTTGGTGAATTTTAAGTTGCCTCTCATTACATTACTTGCAATTTCTCCACTCAAACACTGCATAGTTTACTTGCCTTTGCTGCTAGAGTCAGAGAACAAAAATTGCTAGCTTACATACAGAGTGGAGGAAGAGGAAAAATGAAAATCTAGTGGCAGAATATAGAAACAGCTATTGAGCTATCTAAAATATTAACACTAACCATAATATATGAATTTAATTTGCAGTCAAAGCTGCTAAGACCTTTGAATATCCCAAAAATCCTATATATGAAAAAAGAAAAGTTAATTTATCAAAAAACAGTAACAGATCATCCAGCCAACATACCTAAATCCCAAGATCCATCAAAGAGCAAAACCCATCTTTTCCACACACCAAAAAAAAAAAAAAAAAAAAAAAGACCTACTTCATGCTATGCAAAACTAAGTTAATTACAGCATACCCTTTTGTCAATATTCCCTATTTCATCAACCAAAACTTCAAATTTAGTCTTGTGAATCACCCTTCTTTCCTGATCCACTCTGTTCTCTCTCAGTCAACAATATCCCACTTTCCTCATCTTCTTGCTGAGACTTCTTCTCTACTTCATTTGCTTTCAATGCTTGCAATTTCTGATGATTATAATAAGCAACTCCCAGGAATGCTAATCCATATCCAATCAAATTCACTGGGGTCACTGTATCCTTAATTACTGACCAAGAAAATGCAATAAGCAGCCAATCTTTAACCACCCCACCAATATTCATAGTCAAAGCTGAAGTCTTTCCCACTACCAAGAATACAGCCAAGTTCAATGCAAATGCACATAATGAATTACTACCAAAAATCACAAAATCAAATTTGAAAGAATTACTTGCTCTCAAAATTGGAAGCTCCACAAATATCCAAGGAATTGACAAGAAAACCAAACAACTAGGAGCAACATAGTATAAAGTAGCTATAGGGTTAAAACTAATTCCCTTTGAATTCAACAAGATTTGAACCATAACCAACCTAGTTGCTTCAACCAAAACAGCTAGCAACTGAAGCAAAACACCCCAAGAATCATATTTTGCTTCACCGTAAGCAGCAATAGCAACACCAACTGAAATAGCCAACATGTTACACATAGTTGAATTCTTGAAAGTGTCTTTTTTGAACAAGATTCCAATCGTGTAAACAGCAACTGGCATAAGGGCTTTGAGCATTTGGATGAATGAAACAGAGAGGTAAATATAAGCAGAATTTGAGAGCCATAAGGAAAGAGAGTAAAGTGCACCAATGGGGAGTACGCATGTAAAGTACACGTGGCGGGACAAGGTTACAGGTTCGACAAAGTTAAGGATACGTACGAGGAAGAAAGCTAGTGATGAACAAAAGGCCATGTGAATCATTGTAAGGGAAATAGGGAAAGGCCAGTTGTAGAGTTTTTTGTCAAGAATATATTTGTTGTATACAATTACTGCGGAAGAGAGGACGATCCAGATTCCTAAGTAGGTGTAGGAAATAATTATCTTCTTCATTACTCCGCCGGAGAGGGTGGCGCCACCTTTGCCCGCCATGGTGGCGGTTGACGGCGGAGGAAGTGGTGGTGAGAGTTAATAGAGAGATTTGTGCTGTGTATAGAGTTTGAGAAGATGGGGGAAAAGTGAAGGACTGACTTAGATTTTATGTACAAGTCTTGTTTTGCTTTTCGAGTTCAATTCTAATTACGGTAAATGTTATCTAATAGAATTAGGATTTAGGATACTTAGAAACAATTACCAAGATAGGTATATGCCAGATTACATTATTACATTGAGTCTGTAAAAGTCTTTTATATTTTTAAAAAATTACACGTGTTTTTTGAACTGATACTTCGATATTTACTAGGAATTGGGGACCATAGTATACCTTGTAGTTCTGAGTTTATATCTTCTAGTAAAATTAATATTATACAGTAAAGTGATCTTTATCTCGGAAAGAAAAGGTTGGAATGACAGTTAAAAAGTACAACTCAAAGAGGAAAATCAGTTGATACCTTTTATTATAAACAAAAACGGGAGAAGAATATTGAAAAGGGGTTGGTCGAGATGGAACGAGTCCATTTAATACAGTGAAGACAAAATTCAAATAGACGAGAGTGGTGGGAGTTATACAGAGAGTTTGGACTGTGTTTTTGAGGGGATGAGAAAAAGTGAACAATTTAGATTTTTTTTATGTAGAAGTCTTAGTCTAGGTGGTGATGTGGATAATAGTGGTGTATGGTTTAATGGAAATTGGCAGAGTTATAGTTTTGATTGTTTCCCTGTTCTTGTGTGGAATTTTTTTTTCTTTCTGGGATTTAAAGATGGATCTGCCCCTGCGGGATGGAGCTAACAGAAGTTTTTTTAAGAATTCAAGAGAAGGTCACGACGAAACGAGTCGTTTATCATTACGATAGGTGTCAAGTAAAAGTGCAGTGATGTATGACCTGATCAATTCGATCAGGCACTCGCCATCTATTTTCATTGTTCAAATCTTTGTTGTTGACAACATGAAAAAACCAAAAGCTCTGCCCTCCCTCTCTATCTATCCAGTATCCGAAGATATGGAAAGCGATGTTTTTATGTCAGCAACAGAAGCCCAAGCTTATGGAATTGTTGATCTTGTAGCGGTTGAATAAAAATAACACGGATTTCGCGCAAATCAATGAGAGAATAATCCTAAGGAGTAAAAGTTAATGTATTTCGAGTTAAATTCTAGTTATGAGCAATGTAATCTGATATAATTTCATCATGGTATCGGATTGAATCATCACTTCATCCTACATCAGGTAGGTACAGGTTTTTGACTTCCACTAAGTAGGAGTTTAATTTCCATCCAAAGCAACATTTAAAAGATAAGATATGATCTCGTAGCTCTAACCTTGACTTGTCAACTCATTGCCCAAATTGCTTTTGTATTTTTCGCTAAAATTATGTTTTGTTTTACTATGAGTGTTGTAAACAGCTCTTTCTTATCTGCTGTTCAATTATTTAATCCGTATATGCTTATACATCTTATCACTTATCATGAATGCTATCCATGGGAATAATTCATCATGCCAAATTGAGTACCTCCAACTCCTAACCCCTTAAAGATAGTAACAAAATTCCCTATCGTATCACAACAATTTCTGCAATTGCACAGGATTATAAGCGACTTCCACCAGGTCTTCACAACATAATCCCAGCAGTGTAGAACCATCAGAAAAATAGCTCCAGAAACTCAAATTAACCAAATATTATGCATGTTGAAGTACCAGCTAACATTAATATGATTCAGCAACTAAGCATAATAAAAATCATTGGGAATAAGTTATAGCGCTTAAAAAAATAAAAACAGACATTGTAGTGCTCCTCTAACTGACAAGAAAAGAGTAGTTCAATAAGGGTACAGCAGCTCAGCAGTGCCAGAGCATATAGTAGGAGGCCACCAATTCTTCAAATTAACAACAATAGCAAAACACCTGTCAGTTCTCCCCATCTTTTAGCCGAAATGACTTGATATTGCTGGAAGCTCTCGAGATCGCTAAGATGGCACTGCATACACCAAAAAAGTACATAAACACCAAGAAAACTTAAAGGAAGCAATAAATCAAACACCAAGAGAAGAAGGGCATACTGTATGTAGAAGTATCAATCTGCTCAGGAAGCTCTTTTATGTCTACTTCAAACCTTTCTTGAACCTACAATGGTGAAGCACAACCAACTTAGAATCATATGGACAAAAAGATATCATAACAAGATAAAAATATTCAACAGTCTCCAAACCTGATTTAGAACATCAGAATCTGATGCAGATGACACAAATGTGATGGCAAGGCCTTTAGTTCCAAACCTACCAGCTCGACCCACCTATCAATGTTTTCAAACATAAAAGAATAAACACTACAAGCATAAGTAGATGTCAAAAGTTGAAAGTACAACTCCAAAGAAAGTAGGACCTACTCTGTGAAGATAAGTGTCTGCAGAATCTGGCATGTCATAGTTAATAACAATGTTGACCCTTTCGATGTCAATGCCCCTACCAACCAGATCAGTTGCAACAAGAATTCTCTTGTGACCCTCCTTGAAACCCTTGTAGCGAGTCAATCTATCCATCCAAACAGAAATGTCAAAGAATCGCAGTCACAATTACAAAGAGTTCAATAAAAGATCAAGAATAGCATCTTATAAATTTCACACACTTCTTATTCCAAACAACTGACATGCAATAACGTCGTCAGGAAATTAGAGAGAAGATGCCTGCAAGCTTTAACTATGTCAACAGGACGAAAACGAAGAAGTCAAAATAGCAGATACAACAAAAAACATCCTATCTCATCGTCTAAACCATAAAAAGATGTTAGAAAGAGACTGATTATCTGGCTATCGTTACCCCCTTTCTTGGGTGAGAAGTCGCTACCACTACTTCATTTTTACGTTTTTACAAGTAACGCAATATTTAATAAATGATAAACTTGCAGCACGCTAGTGCTAAAAGACACTACCACTACTTTATTGTACTATGCGCAAATTTATAAAACAAAAAATGTATACTGTTCCATATTTAACTTTTAACTAGAATAAACAAGTACAAAAGAAGAAGAGCATTTCAACAACAGTAACAGACCTTTCTTCCTGCGTCATGCCAGAGTGGATGCAGATAGATGGAAAATTACACTCCACTAGTAATTTATCCAGCTGTGCTGCCCGATTTACACTCTTGACAAATATAACAACTTGGTTGAAGTCCAAGGCGTCCAGCAGATCATTTAGTTTCCGGTTTTTCTCGGTTTCGCTCAATTTAATGTAGTGCTGTTATCGAATAGAAACAAGATAAGAAAGCTAACTCGGACGTAAAGAAATTCATGGCATCATATGCATGCACCCAAGATGTACCTGTACAAGTCCATGAAGGGTCAACTTGGCCTCATCGTCAACATAAATTTCCATAGGCTGAAAGGGACAAATGTCATAGTAAAGCATGTTAGGAGCTTCGTGAAGCTAATGACATCCAGAATGAAACGAATGATGGATGAAGATGAATTGGAAGTCCATCTGTGCATTTTCTCCTCGGAGATGTAAAATCAGAACAACTATGTCTCATTGTTGCTCAATATGTTTTACAACTGCACTAACAAGAATCTTTCCCGCAACAGTGCAAGCACCGATTCCACCCAGATTATCCCATTCTACTCAATACCTTCCCCCAACACTCCAGGCTTTTTTAAAAATCATCTAGGAACTTCTGATACAAGCACAATTGGAAGAAGACAAAGGAACTACAAGCTCAGTGCAACCCATTTTCTTTGTACTCAATACCTTCCCCCAACACTCCAGGCTTTTTTAAAAATTATCTAGGAACTTCTGATACAAGCACAGTTGGAAGAAGACAAAGGAACTACAAGCTCAGTGCAACCCATTTTCTTTGTACACGTCCCCTCTGGCTTTGACCAAATAAATTCACTACCAAGTGCCTGGAGAAATCTGAAATTACGGAAAACAGAAAACTTAGAATTTCAAGTAGAGCTGGCAGAGGACATTACATCTTGCATAAATTTTTTGCAAACTGGGCGGATCTCCTTGCTGAGTGTTGCTGAAAACATCATTACTTGCTTGTCATGGGGAGTCATCTTGAAAATTTCCTGCACATCTCTCCTCATGTCTGCAAACAAAGTACATGTATCGTATCAATACAAAAAGAGAATATCGTAGAAATGGGCAACTAGATTCATGAAAGCAGAATAGTAAGCCAAGACATACCAAGTGATTCAAGCATCTTATCGCATTCATCCAGAACAAAATGCCTCACATTCCTTAGAGATAGGTCCTTATCTCTAGCCAGTGAAAGTACTCTCCCAGGAGTTCCAACAACAATGTGAGGGCATTCATTCTTCAGAAGCTCCTTGTGAAGTTTGATGTTCACACCACCATAGAAAACAGCAACCTTGATGTCGGGCAAATATGTGCTGAACCTTTCGAATTCATGACAGATCTGCAGACAGCCAAAGAGTCCCACACGAAAGAGGGTTACTTAAATAAATGGAAATAAACGGAAGTTGATTTTGAAACAGAACTGTAGATTTCATTACATACCTGATAAGCTAATTCCCTTGTATGACATAGAACCAAGGCAGCAACCTGACCAGCAACAGGTTCAATCTGTTGCAGAGTCGAAAGAACAAAAACAGCCGTTTTGCCCATTCCAGATTTGGCTTGACAAATAACATCCATACCCAGAATAGCTTGTGGAATACACTCATGTTGCACTGATGAAGAGAACCAAATAGAGCGGAGCCAAGAAGGCCTCAGTTTCAGTTTAAAAAAGTTTACCACTGTACACTTCTCCAAAATAGTAGTGATAGTAATAATTTACCTGAAAATAGATAGAGAAATAGATTGTTAAGAACCGCCCAGTAAGCAAAGAGGATTAGGTTTTGCCCAAAACAATAAACGAATAATCAAAGAGAGAAAAAGGGAGCTTGAATCAGCATACATTGCAAAAATACAAAAATATTACCCTAAAAGAAACGCCTTGACCACATTTCAGAACACTAAAGTACAATTTGTTTCACATCCAGATGCTATATATAACACCATGAGCTTATGATTACAAAACTCAAAGAAAGGTTTTTGGCCCACAGAACTGTT